CGGCGACCCGGGCTCTGCCCTCTGTTCCTGCCAACTGTCTGGTCAGCCAGCCTCCCTCCTAGTGTATCCATCCATCCATCCATCATCTCCTCATCCATCCATCCATCCCTCCCTCCCCATCCCCCGTCCATCCCGCCTCCCTCCTAGTGTAGCCATCCATCCATCCACCCTGCCCATCCCACGTCCATCCATCCATCCACTCTCCTCAACCCTGCAACTGTCTATTCACCCATCCCCGGGTATCCATCCTGTGACGTTGCACTCTACATGATTTTATGAAAATATGCTAATGAGTGTGAATATAATGTAACTGGAATATGCTTCATGCAAAAGGTCTCTTGTAAGGTTTCACTACAAAGCTTCTAATCTACGGAGTGTGTTCATCCTATTTGTATGAATGTATCACTTTTGTATCTGAAACTAGAAATATGAAATGTAACGCTGAGGGCCTATTGTAGTTATGCAAAGTGTGGGCCATTAATGGTGGTTTGGAATTTTGATGGCTCCCATTAACCAGGACCATTGTCTGCAGATGCCTCTGTTTTACCTGTAAGTCTTCCTGTATACGTGTGTGTGCTGGCAAGTGGGCAATGAGGTCTTACAGCGACATGTGATCATGTCACCTGAACTGGAATCCATCTTTAACCTGGTGTCTTTCCATTGAGAAGGGGGGGTGGGGACCCAGAGAGGGACAAAGGGTTCCCGCCTTGTGCCAAAGCTATATAAGGGGGTGGAACAGAACAAAGGGGGCTGCATTCATGAGAAATCCCCTAGTTATCACCTGAGCTGGAATAAGGGCTGCACCGGAGGAAAGGATGGTCGCAGACTAGGAAGGCGTCCAGTCTGTGAAAGAAGCTTATTGGAACATCTCTGAGGGTGAGATTTTATCTGTAATCACTTTCTTACTGTATTAGGCTTAGACTTGCGTGTTTTGTTTTATTTTGCTTGGTAATTCACTTTGTTCTGTCTGTTACTACTTGGAACCACTTAAATCCTACTTTTTGTATTTAATAAAATAACTTTTTTACTTATTAATTAACCCAGAGTACGTATTTATACGGGGGGGGGGGGCAAACAGCCGTGCATATCTCTCTATCAGTGTTATAGAGGGCGAACAATTTACGAGTTTACCCTGTATAAGCTTTATACAGAGTAAAACGGATTTCTTTGGGGTTTTGACCCCATTGGGAGTGGTCTGAGTGCTGGAGACAGAAACACTTCTTAAGCTGTTTTCAGTCAAGCCTGCAGCTTTTGGGGGACGTAGTTCAGACCTGGGTCTGGGTTTGCAGCAGGCTGGCATGTCTGGCTCAAACCAGGCAGGGCACTGAAGTCCCAAGCTGGCAGGGAAAACGGGCTCAGAGGTAGTCTCAGCACATCAGGTGGCAGCTCCCAAGGGGGTTTCTGTGATCCAGCCAGTCACAGTGTTCGAAATCCAATGGGGTTTCCCCGCACAGGTTCGGATCCTGTTCGTGACGCCACTGTGATGGGTTGTGGTCGTTACTGTCCTTTGTTCCGGTTTCTGTCAGGTATCCTGGGGATGGAGAGGCTCTCTCTTGAGCCAGCTGAAGACAAAATGGAGGGGTCTCCCAGGGGTCTCCCAGGGGTTTATATAGTGTCTCCTTGTGGGTCTAAACCCCTCCCTCCCCCTGTGTAGAATCCCCTCGACAAGCTGGAGTTTTGGAGTCACATGGGCAAGTCACATGTCCCTGCATGACTCCGTTCTCGTTCCCAGGAAAGCTCGGATGTGGACTGGCGACTGTCAAGGTCCATTGTTTGCCAAGTGCTTCCACTTACTTGAATAACCCCTCACACTATGTTGATCAAATCTGCCTTAGGTGCTTCCTACAGCAAACACTTGAAATAGAAGCACAGAGCCAACGCTCATAACTTCCGATATAAAAATGATACAGGCATACGAATAGGATGAAAACAGTCAGCAGAATGTAACCTGTGCAAAGAGATGTGACATGGCCTGTGTAGCATAAAACATATCCCAGTTATGTCATATTTACATTCATAAGAATATTTCTATAACGCATTATGGGTTGCAATGTCACACATCCCTCCCTCCCAGTGCCTCTGTCCCAGTGTATCTGTCCCTCCCCAGACCTCCACGTGCTCCCGTCTCTCTTTGCCCCCCCGATCCCAGCCTGTCCCTCCCCCGGCTCCCCGCCCCGGGCCCCGCTCACCGCGCAGCCGTCGGTGAGGGCCGTGATGTAGGGGCTGTTGTCGTAGCTCATGTCCTCTTCGTTGGCGCCCCGGAGGCGGAGGGCGCGCTGGTGGCCCCCAGAGGCGGCGCTGCGCCAGGCCACCGAGCGCTGGCAGTGGTAGGTGAAGTTCTGCCGGGCGGCCACGCTGAGCAGCCGCAGGAAGGTGAGCTGCACCGCGCCCACCGGGCGCCCGTCCGCGTCCACGTACGAGAACTGGGGGGTCAGGGACACGTTAGGGGGAGACGCACGTGGCGGCCACCCCCCCGCACTCCCCGCTCGGGGCAAGGCGTGGGGAGCCCCTGCCCAGGGGGCACTCAGTGGGGATCAGAGTCTGTGCTCTGTGGTGAGGGGCGCCAGAGGCGGGGAGAGAGATGGACAGAGCTGAGGACGGGGGATGGACAGCTCCAAGGACGGGGAATGGACAGAGCCGAGGACAGACGGATGAACAGCTCCAAGGACGGGGGATGGACAGAGCTGAGGACAGATGGATGAACAGCTCCAAGGACGGGGGATGGACAGAGCTGAGGACAGACGGACGAACAGCTCCAAGGACAGGGGATGGACAGAGCCACAGACGGGTTTCTCTGGTGTGGACAGACATTAAACAGGCGACTAGCCGGGCAGACGAGACTCCAGGCAGATCTAGGGATGGGTAGATTCCAGGCCGGGCGGATGGGTGGATCAGATCGAGGAGAGTCTGGGGGGGTGGGGGGGATGAGGATCTAGGACTGGGGAGATACACCCTCGGGGCTGGGCACGGAAGGGGTTTCCAGGGGGGTGAATGACAGAGGAGTTTGAAGGCTGGATGGACGGACGTTAGCTGGGGGGGGGAGGTGCGGTCACTGGAGACCCCCCTGCAGACCGCAGGTGTCAGCGGGGGGTCAGTGTTGGAGCCGGGGGTACAGGAGGTATCTGCACATACACACATGCTCAGGCAGGGCCTGTCCCTGGGGCTCATTCAGAGGGGCCAGGGCCGTGTATGGGGGGCGCGAGCTGTATTATCGGGGTGCAGGATCCCCGGGACCAGGCTGGCTGTTGGGGTGACCCTGGCAGTGTCACTGAGCCCAGGACACCCCCACCGGCCGCCCGGCCCGGTTCTCACCTTGCTGCCTTCCCGGAACTGGCTGAACCAGCGCGGGGGCTTCTCCTCCTGCCACACAGACATCCGGACCTGGCAGGGGAGACCCAGAGAGACGGGCTCAGGGGGGCTGCACCTGGGGGTGCCCCACGTGCGCTGAGCCTGGCTGGGAGCCGGGGCCGAGGCTGGGGCTAAATCCTCCCTTCAGCCACCACTGCTGCTCTAGTGCCAAAACCAGACAGCGGCGGCTTGGGGCTGTTAGAACAGGAGAGAACCCAGGAGTCCTGGCCCCCAGGCCCCCCCACTCTAACCCACCAGATCCCACTCCCCTCCCAGAGCTGTGGTAGAACCCAGGAGTCCTGGCCCCCAGCCCCCTGCTCTAAACCACCAGCCCCCACTCCCCTCCCAGAGCTGGGGAGAGAACCCAGGAGTCCTGGCTGCCAGCTCCCCGCCCCCCCACTCTAACCCACCAGATCCCACTCCCCTCCCAGAGCTGTGATAGAACCCAGGAGTCCTGGCTCCCAGCCCCCCCTCCCTCCCATCACACTCACCTCCTGCGTCTCTTTGGTGGGGAAGAGGCAGGTCTCCCCGCCAGCCGTGAAGTCGCAATGCACCTTGAAGGAGTCGCGGGAGCAGCCCTCATTGGGGTCGATCCAGTACTCGCCTGGGGGGGGGGTGTGTCAGTGCACAAAGAATCCTCTTCGTTCCTCCCCCCC